GGAGCGCCGGGATTCCCTCCCCGCCGAAGCCCCGGCTCTGTGCGCGGAGATGGGCTCGCTCCCAGGTAGCATCTGCTCGGCCAGCTGCCGGAGCGCCAGCCTGGCTGCTCTGCCGGGCGCCTCGGGTGGCATCACGCAGCTCCTGCGCTGCTGCTGCTAATTCACCTGGCAAAAACGCTTCTGGTTCCCATCTTTCCGTACCTGCTGCCGCTTCTCTGCGGTTTGAAATGGTCTCAGCTTTCAGCAGTGTGAGTTTCTGAGGTGCTGCAAGGGAGAGCACGTCCTGGGTTTGGGAGAGGGAGAGCGGAGCCCGCAGGCGCTCTGCTGTGGGTGGCAGCGGGGCTGTACCTGGCTCCCTGACACTAGGCAGCGTTAGCCTGGGCCCATTGGCTCTGAGGCTGCTGGAGGAGATGCTGATAGATTTGGGGTGCGTCTCTAACCACAGTGTAGGATGGTCAGGGTGGAGTTACTCCTGGAAATGGGACCTGTCTCCTCCTGCCCCATCCTACCAAGCACCGGGCCCCCTCCTCGCCTGCTCTCCCTGCGTTGTTCCTGTGTGCCCTAATGCCAGGATCACACCCCCTTCCCTTGCAGAGATGGGTGACATGGAGTCCTACAAGGTGATGCTGAATGGACCGGCGCCCTGGGGCTTCAGGCTGCAGGGAGGGAAGGATTTCAGCATGCCGCTCTCCATCTCCAGGGTAAGAGAAGCCAAGGCCGGTGACCCCCTTCCTTCCCCTGCCTCTGCGGGTGGGAGCCGTGGCGGCTGCGTCCAGGTGGTTGAGGCAGAGCCGTATGGGGGATGCAGATGAGCCAGGGCCCCGGGAGCGCTGTGTCCTGCCCTGCCTGGCTCTGCGTAGCCTCCTCGGAGCCTTATCAGCTGCGGTCTGGCATGGGGGTGTTCCGGGCAGAGGGCTGCAGATGAGAAACACTGTACAGCCTCTGCAGAGTCATTCTGGCTGTTGGGGGGGGGCAGGGGAGGCCCCTTCCAGGGCCTGCCCGCTGCAGGGGGAGGGGAGCCGCTCTCACCATTTCTGAGCCGCGGGGCCGGCTTCCCGGTCCACACCACGACACCAGGCTCAGCGTCCTGGGACCTGGCTTGTGCCCTTCCACTCTCCCTCTCGCTGCGTGCTCCCAGCTCCACACCCGAGCTGGCCCTGGAACGGGCAGGGAGGGGAAGAAGCCTGTGCTGCTGCCCACGCTGCTGCCTGCACTGGGATGTGGCTCCCTCCACAAAACCAGCCCGTTTCTCCAGCGTGAGCGAGAGCCGTTGTGCTGCCGGCTGCTCGTGGCTGAGGTGTCTGGTGTGAGCTGCTCCCAGTGTGATGCTTGCCCAGGCCAGGTCTGGCCCCTGGGTGCGTGCGGGTCCCTGTCCCCTGGCGGCCCAGTCCCCTGGGTGGGTGCTGGCCACGGCTCTGGCCACGCAATTGCCTTATAAGCCTTGGAATGTGACTACATCGCCCGTGCTGCTGACGCTCAGCAGCTGGTATGGAGGCTGCTTCTCAAAGGATGGCTTTGCTTGTGGCACAGAGTGCTGTGCGGGGGGCTGCCCCGGGCACGT